AAAAAACTATGAGTTGTGGGAGACGAAGTTTTTGGGTCACCTGCGGCTGCTGGGACTTAAGTAGACAATCCTATGCCCAGATGAGCCAGGTGAGGGTGAAGAAGATGACGATTCAAAGAATGAGGAAGCATACATAGAATTAATCCAGTTTCTGGATGACTAAAGTCTTTCCCTCATAATGTGAGATGCCCCAGATGATGGAAGGAAAGCCCTGCAGATACTTCGTGATTATTATGCGAACAAAGGGAAACCCCAACTGATCAGCTTGTATACTGAGCTGACTTCACTAAGGAAAGCAAATAATGAGACTGTCACTGATTATATCATCCGCGCAGACTGCCATAACACTATTGAGAAATGCAGGAGACATTTAGCGACGGGCTGCTGATCGTGATGGTTCTGAAGGGGTTACCAGAAGCATTTGAGCCATTTGCCATTCATATAACACAAAGTGATGACAAGATAACATTCAGTGCATTTAAAACAAAGTTAAGAAGCTATGAGAGTACTGAAAAATTGAATTCCTCCTGCAATGATGATGCTGTTATGAAAACTGGAGATTCGGGTGTGAGGATGAGGGGAAAAAGAGACTTTACTCAGTTAAGATGCTACACCTGTGGCCAGACAGGGCATAAAGCACGAGAATGCGGCCTGCAGAAACAGTGGTGCACATTTTGCCAGGAGCTCCACTCACAGAGACTCGAACTGCAGACGGAAAAAGAGAGACGATGCAAAAGACGCAGCTGATGAATGTCAAACATTTGCCTTCAAGAACAGCGACAGCGTCATGAATGGAGTGAAAGAAAGAGGTCTGATGGTCGACACAGGATCAACTTCCCACATCATCACAGACATCGAGAAGTTTCAAAGCTTTGATGACACCTTCCTCCCGGAGGAGCACTTCATGGAGCTGGCTGATGGGAAGCAAACGAGTGGTGTCACACACAAACGAGGTGAGGCCGTGGTCTGTCTGAGGGACAGCGAGGAACGTCCTGTGATGGCGACACTGCAGAGGGCGCTCTACATCCCGACGTTGCTGCAGAACATCTTCTCGGTTAAAGCTGCGACCACCAATGGAGCTGAGGTCCACTTCAAGGAGGGAAGCAACCAGCTGATCCACAAGGATGGCACCAGGTTTGACATTAAAGAATATCGGAGACTGTACTATCTGAACACTGTAAATATTGAGAGTGATTATAATCAAGAATGTCATGGATGTTATGATATTCAAACATGGCATGAGATACTTGGTCATTGCAATTATGATGATGTGTCAAAAGTTAGAGAATGTAACCAAAGGAATGAAAATCAAAGGTAAAACCGATCAATCTAATCTAAACTGTGAAATCTGTATACAAGGAAAGTTTGTTCAGACTAGAAACAGAGAGCCTGATGTGAGAGCTAAAGAAGCACTTGAGTTGGTGCACACAGACCTAGCTGGCCCTATAAGCCCAGAGGCCAAAGATGGTTTCAGATATGCTTTAGCATTTACAGATGATTATTCAGGTGCAATGTTTGTTTATTTTCTCAAAGTAAAAAGTGGTACTGTTAAAGCAACAGAAAAGTGTATTGCTGACACTGCTCCTTATGGGAAAATAAAACGGTTGAGGTCAGACAATGGAAACGAGTTTACATCCAATGAGTTTCGGTCATTGCTTAGCAAAAATGCAATAAAACGTGAAACCTCAGCACCTTATTCACCCCACCAAAATGGGAAGGCTGAGAGGAGCGGGAGAACTTTATTTGTTATGGGGTGATGCATGCTGCTACAAAGTAACCTGCCAAAACAGCTGTGGACATATGCTGTAATGACAGCTGCAGTTATCAGGAACAGATGCTTTAACAAGCGTCTAGGCCAAACCACATACTACATGCTAACAGGAAGACAACCTGACCTGTCAAAAATGAGAACTTTTGGATCGGTTTGCCATGCATACAAGCATGATAAGAAAAAGTTGGACTCCAGAAGTGAAACTGGAATCTTTGATGGCTATGATGGAAATAGCCCAGCATATTTGGTTTACTACCCAGAAACAGGAAAGGTACTTAAGTACAGGTTAGTGAAGTTTGTAACCAAGACTGTGGTTGAACATTCAACTCAGACGGATGTGATTTTAACCGAAGACGGTGTATTTGGGGAGAGGCTTATCCCTTCCGTATCTAAAGAGCTAATGACTAAACATGATCCTGAAGTGAAACTTGAGACAGAGATTGAAGCCTCAGAATCCGAAAACAATATTCAGATCGAAGAAAGTCAAGGTACACGTTATCCTAAGAGGGAGAGGAAACGTCCAGAGTACCCGAATGACTATGAATGTAGAGTGGAGGACGATGAGGAATCAATTGATGTCGATTATTGTTACAAAATGCTAAACAATATTCCACAGACATTCAAGGAGGCTATCACTTCATCAAAGTCTGAAATGTGGGTACGGGCAATGCAAGAAGAAGTGAAGTCCTTAGAAGAAAACAATACGTTCACATTAACTTCACTGCCGGAACGTAAATCCATAGTGGGGGGCAGATGGGTTTATGCTATTAAAGAAAATGCAGATTTAACAGAGACATATAAGGCTAGATATGTAGCGAAAGGATATAGTCAAGTAGCAGGAGTAGATTACAAAGAAACATTTTCTCCAACAGCTAATATGACTTCTGTACGCACATTAATGCAGCTTGCAGCACAGCATGACTTGGAGGTGCATCAGATGGATGTAAAAACAGCGTATCTGAATGCTCCCATTGACTGCAAAGTGTACATTGAACAGCCTGAAGGCTCTGAAATCAAGTCAGACACGGGTAAAAAGTTTGTGTGTCGGTTGAACAAATCCTTATATGGTCTAAAGCAGCCTGGGAGGAACGGAATAAAATGCTGCATGATTGTCTTTGCAAAAGTGGTTTTTATACAGAATGAAGCAGATCATTGTGTTTATAGTCAACAAACAGAATATGGAAAAACTCTTCTGTTAATCTGGGTTGATGATCTCCTTGTTGCATCAAAGGATTCAAAGTCACTTGAAGAAGTAAAAGAAATGTTAACAAAAATGTTTGATGAAAGACCTTGGTAAACTAAAAACTTTCTTGGGTATTGAGTTTACACAGAAAGGAGAGATAAAGAAACCAAATGAGATTTATAACAAAAATTTTGGAAAGATTCGGTATGTCTGTCTGTAAAGCAAGGTCTACTCCATGTGAACGAAAGATACATTTTGATGATGAAGGTGAATCTGTTGATGCAAGAAGGTATCGTGAAATGGTTGGCAGTTTGATCTACGTAATGACCTGTACAAGGCCTGACATATGTTGGATTATTAGTAAACTTTCCCAGTATCTGTCCAAACCAAAAGAACAACACTTTGACAGCTACAAAACATGTGTTAAGATATCTAAAAGGGACAATAAATCAAGAACTGTGTTATACAAAAAGTGAAGAAAAGCTTGAACTTGTAGCTTATAGTGATGCAGATTGGGCTTCAGATCGCACCGACAGACGCAGCACTACAGGCTACTGTTTTAGCTTCAACAAAAATGGCTCTATTATCTCCTAGAAAACCAAGAAACGGCAAAGTGTTGCATTATCAATTTGTGAAGCAGAATATATTGCTCTAGCTGCCACAGTACAGGAGAGTTTATATCTTTTGCAACTGCTAAAAGGGTTGAATGATGAGTGTTATGTGTCTGTAAAAATCTTTGGAGATAATCAAGGTGCTATCGCTTTGTCTAAGAATCCAGTCTGTCGTCAGAGATGTAAACACATAGACATAAAGTACCACTTTATTAGATCTATGCTGAATGATGGAAAGATAACCATTGAGTATGGTCCAACAACAGACATGGTTTCAGATGTTTTAACAAAGTCTGTAACAAAGGTCAAGATAGATAGATTAAGAAAATATTTGTTTGGAATGTAAATTGATTTTGTCTCAATGGATAATAAGTTCACTGTATAAGAGCAAGTGGGGATGTTAAGCTTTGTTGATTAGTTGTGCTCTTACAGTTGTGACTGATTAATGTGATTGCACAAATAAAAGGGCGTGGTGCTGCTATTGCGACTACCGGTCCCCACTGAATAGTGCCTGCATGGTGTTTGTTCGTTCCTCCGTCAAGGGTAACTAGCTGTCGGTTCTCCTGTCTTCAAATGGCTGCGTCAACAATAAATGTTATGGTTAAATTGATTGATATATGTTTCAGAATGTTAACATGACAAGGTCATCACCATTTGCACTCACACAAGAACAAGTAATGTTAAGTTAAACTCATGATACATAAATAGCCTCTACCCCAGATCAGAGAATCCGGATCAAGGAAGGCGTGTTTCTGAGTTGTCTTGTTAACATTCCTCAACTTGTCAACCTCTGGTTGGCTACACAGATCATAACATGAGAACATTAAAACTGGATCACTCTGGTAATTCATCACTTCTAGAGAAAGCTTCAGACCGGGTTAGGGTTAGGTCATCCGACCTCTCTGACCTTCGGATCCACGAAGAGGGTCTCCGAGAACTGGTGAAGTCTGATGTGTTTTTGATGATGATCAACTTCATAGCTTAGCGCAAACCAAATTCTTTTCCACCCAGAACTCAGCTCTCCTAGATGCGGAAGTTCTGACTAACATTGCATTCACACACAGGTTCATACATCACATTTAGATGCATCCACTCACAGTAAATGTTAGTTAACCTGTCATGTTTTAATTGTTGGTAAAATAAATTCTTACTTTTATAAACCTGACTGTTTTCTGAATCAAAACGAAGTTTTTACAATCCCTTAATAAACAAAGAATCCTAGAATCTTCTGATTAAACACCGTAAAGACCAAGCAGGGTTGATATTCTATATTTAGATAGAGTATCACAGCTTATTGGTCATAAGTAGAGGTAATATATATATATAAGAGAGAGAGAGAGAGAGAGAGCTCTTAAAGCACTCAATTTACCAAACCCTGCAGAGTCAAAATGTAAAGAAATGAGAGAAAACTTAATATTGACGCTGTGTGTTCTAGTCGATGGCCTGGAGAAACCATCTGTGGCTAGCTGTGACGTGGTTGTGGACAACGCCACTAATACCCTGAATGCGCCGGGCTCAAGGCAGCAGCGAGGCAAGCTGTCATCGCTGGGAAAAATATTCAAGCCCTGGAAGTGGAGGAAGAAGAAAACCAGCGACAAATTCCAGGATCTCTCCAAAGGTAGGATGTCCTGCGTGTGGCTGTAAGAACCAACTGATGAATTGGTTCTATTCAATCAAGTGTCTGGGTTATGTCACAGCTGCTATTTTTAGATTTGTGTGGAACTGTAGCAGCGAAAGCTCCCAGAAACGATTGGGAAATATACAATTGAAAGTTCTGTTTTTAGTTCTTGCTGAATAATTCCTGAGCTGTTGCTTTGGTAATAAAAAAGATCAAAGTAAATCCTAATTACTGGCATATTTAGTGTAACATTTTATTTAGAATCTTAACTTCATAGTTGATTTTTGGCTTTAGGGGAATTTTCTCTTGTAGTTAAAACACAAGTTGAACTTGCATAAATGAAACCATGTTTATGGGTGCTATTTTGAATTCCAATCTGTGTACTGACCATCAGATTAAAGATCAGCTCTTCAGAGAATAGTCTCTGACACGCAGCATGTTCTAATACTCGTCAGAATTAGAAGTTAAAAACTTCAAAACACAAGATCCACCTAAAACGCTTTTCTGTTACAGTTCTAGAAAGAAAAATCTCCACCAGACAAACGAGAGAGGAGCTGATAAAGAAAGGAGTTCTCATCCCTGAACAAGGTTTGTCCCTTTCATTCACTAAACGGATCCTTTTTGGATGAAAATCCGAAAGACAACATTGTTCAGCTTTCAGAGTGACCATAACCGACTCACTGATGCAGCGTGTCTTCTCTCAGTTCTTCAGAACAATTATCAGCCTTCTGCGATTCTGTCCTGTAATCAGTGAAGGGAATCATCAACAACAGCTTTTTTCCCTCTGCCTTCCCAGATGAACCAGTCGTCAGTGAGAATCTCAACGGCCACGCAACATCCAGTTTGACATCGGAGGAGGTCAAAGTGGACATTGAAACTCCAGAAAAACTCGTCAAGGATCAAAGCACAGAGACTGCCAGCACCCAAGACAAAACGGGTATTATTTTTAGTTGTAACACTTAAATCTGTAATTATCTAGTAGGTTAGGAATCTTCCATCGTTAATCCCATACTAGCTGAGAGTTTAGATGATCATTTTACTCTGGAATATTGTTTTTGTTTCTGAACAGCTCAAGTCCTTTAAGGTTTTTGGACATAGTTGAGTCTGCTGAAGTTTTCTGGCTGACGTTGAACTCTGAAGGGTCTCTGAGTGTGCCTAATGTGTTGATATAGATGTAACCATTACGTCAGCCTCCACTGGGCCTCCTCGGCCCGGGCAGGGCGGTATCTCCTTCCCCTAATGCTTCCCACTCTTCTCAGCCTGATGCCGTTTTAAGTGTTGAGCTGTTTTCATCTCAATCCGGTTAGCATCGAACCTAGCAGCCGCAGTTTGTTTGTCAATAATCCAAAAGACAGAGGGAGAAAACGCTGCACATATAAGATTCACACACCAGCAGTTTCCGTCTCCTTTTTAAAAACATCTGAAGTGACTGTGAAGTTAATCTTGCACAGATTAGCACTGCTTGTCTTTCTTTTAGTCTCTTTTTTAAAAAAAATCATTAAACACTCCAATTTCCTCCCTGCTTGCTCTGATCGTCTCAGCAAAGTGTGACGCTAAACCCGCTTCCCGGACAAACCAGGTGCGATCTCGGGACGCTCCGGCTAAAAAACAGCAAGGCAACACTATTCCAAGTGCTACCAAGCCTGCTGGTGGCACCGCCGCCACTGTGGCTAGGCACAAAGATGGTGCCCCAGGAGCTAAAAAGACTGCCAAAGCCACAGGCAAGACTGCCACTTCCACACAGGCTAAAGCTAACCCACGGCACACTAACGCCACGAGTCGAGGGGTTGGTAAGTTCAGGTTGCTGCCTGCCTGCCATCCTGCATGGAAAATGTTTGTGTCACTGTGTGAAGGGAAGCAAGACTCTGTGAAACCCAACTGCTTCAGTCAGTCCTAACTGCATGTGCACCTGCTTGTGTGTTTAAGCGTTGCTACACAGGAGCCTTGAGAGTGCCCTTCCTCCTTAGAGGGGATTATCAGTGGTTCAGCTGTTGAAGTGCTTCATTTATAATATCTGTCTTGTTTTCTGTGAAAGCTGAAGTGAATGTTTGTTGGCACACCTCTGGAAACACGTCTGTAGCACAAGAGACGTGTGTTTGTGTGAAGATGAGAAAGAGGCGCAGTGTGAACGTGAGTGAAGAGTGTTTTGCACGGCTTTGGCTGTGATACACTGGTGTGATTTTTCATGGGATAGTGTCATAGCATGCTCTTTACCATGTGTGTGTGTGTGTTAGCGTACAGCATGGATGTGAGCTATGTGTGTAGTGTGTTTCATCAGTGCTGTGTGTTTTATTATTTATTGGAACCTTTACACATCATTGCTTCTGTAAATAACTGGCTTTGAGCTGCTAGTTGCACAGAAATGAAATGAGATGAGTTGGAACTGAAACACACGGGGCATCAGCGCGGTTGGCCATCTTTGCCTATTGGCTAGCCCGTCAGAGCTGCTGAGGGCTTTCCTGAGAACTGAAGTAAGGTGTTTTACATAAAAGATGACAACCGCGTTGCAGAACATTTGTGCAAAAGTTCATTATTTTTGCATTAAAGACGCGTTCAGGTTCTGCTGTTTTCCCTGCCGTGGTTGCACCAGTTCTATCCTCCAGGTCAAGTTAAAGTTTATTTTTTTAGCACATAAAAAACACAATCCTTGTAAATTGAAGCACTGTCTGTGCTCTCCTGTCACCTCTGGCTTTGAGCTCTGATATGGGAGCAGCTGATCTGTAGCTCTAATAGCTCTGAAGGTGGAGGTGATGCATTAGGACGCTTAACAAAAAAAGTACATTTTTTTTTACTAAATCAAAAGACAGTCATGCTTCCAGAGTAGAGAGGCCTGTAAGGGTGTCTAACTAATTGTTCTCTCTGGATAGTTGTAGAAGCTCAGCTGTGGGTCTCTCTGCTGCACAGCTCTGACTTGAACTAGTGCAGCACTGAACTATGCTACATCTGAGGCAGGTTAGCGGACAGAATGTAGTGTTTTACATTTCTTTTGAAACAACCTATCAAGACAAAATAATAAGAGGAGTACCACTAATACCAGTTTGCTGTTGCTTAACCATCAGTAGACTGCTACAGGGTAGCTGCAGGTAGCATGTTTTAATGCCAAAGTCTGTTAGCTCCTGTTTTTTTAGTCTCTCCCTGATGCTAAAATCAGCCTACTCCAGCTTCTGCTAACCTCTAAAGCTGTGGCATCAGACACGTTATTTCTTCACCTTTCAGTAATAAATGTTATTAGCGAGTCAGATTGGGTCAAAAATAGATCATTTTAATCTTTACCATCACCCTGCTGCATGACAACAATCACACTCCTCAGTGTTCAGCCTGCTTTTGTTGAAGGTTTTTCTTGTTTCTTATGACTTTCCATTTTTATGTCCTATTCTGCAGCCAAATCCTCAAACCCAAAAAAGGCAGCAACAACAACAAAGAGCACCCCCGTCTCCACCTCCACACCTCGTTCTCGGGGGCCTAAAGATGCTGCTGCTTCAGCCAAGCCTAATGGGAAGGATGCAAAGGCCAGAGACACTGCAAACCCTTCTTCTGTACCTCACAAAGACTCCACAGAGACTTCTAATCAGCCTGGAGAGTTAAAATCCTTACAGCTTCCCTCTGACAACAAGCCTGTTTCTTCTAAAGCCTCGGGGAGTGAGGCAGAAGGGAGTCAGGCTGGTTCTCAACCCCACAAATCTGCTCCCAGGGACTCTACTTCAGCTGAAGAGACTCCTAAAGGTTTGGCTGCTGATTCCACTCTCCAGCCCCCTAAAATCAACGTGGCTGCAGAAGACACGCCCATCACAGTGGGGGAGAGGGAAAATGGCACACAGGAGGAGAAACGGAAAGTAACAGAAGGGGAAGAAGGAGGAGGAGACGTGAAAAGGAAAGGAGAAACGGAGTTTGGGACAGAGAAAAGCCTGAGGTAAAAATCCAAGTCAGGACATGCAAGTCCTCTGTCTGAAGCTCCTTAAAGTCTCTGAAGCTGTATGATTATTTATTATAGCATTAGATCAAACATAGCAGGCTTTGGTTTCACAGGCTGGTGTGATTCTGTTTGTGCTTTTGGTCAAAAGAGCAGGATTTCATCTCAAAAGGAACCCTGTGGAATTTGGCTTTCCAGGATTTTTTCCTCTTACTGATATTAGGAGACACAGTGAGATGTTACTCCACTTCACGTGTGCAGAAAACAGCATTCAGCACACAACACTAATTCAGACTCTCAGGACACACTCGGTGTCGGTGATGTAACATGTGTTGGCAGTTTGACCGCGGATCATTTGTAACGATCCATCCTTTAGGTGAGATCTTATTATTGTGTGTGTCAGATTGGGACAGGTTTTTAAGCAGGGGGCAGAAAGTTAAACATGGCTGTTTTCTGTCTCAAACATGTAGAAATGATTCATAATAAGGTGAGTTTTTAAAGATTTTTCAATAAAACTGTGTTGGACTTAAGTTAATAACAAAAAAGTAAAAAAGCTTAGATTGATATTTTAGTTGAGCAGAAATGAAGAAGTTTGAGATAAAATGACACTAGTTGAGTGCTATAAGCTCACTCCTTTAAACAAAACACATAATCACTGTTGGTATGCCAAAGCAAACAGAAAAAAAAAGGTTCAGAGTTCCTTTTTCTGAGTTTCAGTGAATGTAGCAGGATTTGAAAGGAGCAGATTACCAGAAAGGACCTCAGTTTCCTCTTTTTTTATGGACTTTTCGCCATGTTTGAATCGCTTTTTTCACGAGACTTTTTAAAAACTAAGTGGACCCAAAATGATGTGAGAATGTTATTATTATTATTATTATTATTTTTACCTTCTATTTTTTAAGAGTATCCTCAAGCGCATGGCCTATTTTCTACATCCCTTTAAATCACAGAAGAAGTTATTTGTAGCTACTAATGTTATTATTTTCATTACTAGGTCAAACTTGTGATTCCAGGTGCTCTGTGCATTCATACTCTCGTTTTTGACTTCAGGTCTAAGGAGGGGGACTTGGAAAAAACCCCGGGCCTCAGTGTGAAAACGGAGCAGGCCGAGGTGACGATCATTCCAGACAGGCCGAGAGACAGCCAGACGAGCGACTCGGATTCTGACGGGCCAATCCTCTACCGGAGTGAGGAAGAGGATGAGGAGGAGGATGAAGATGAATACACAAACAGTATGTAATATAATCTAGTAAAAGTTAGTGTGCTGGAATCAGCCCTGAGTTTTTAATCTGCATTTAATGTGATGGATGCTCTGACTTACCAGTAAATTGGTTTCATAATGTAATTTAATAGTTAATGAGCCCCGGCCTGTAGTTGTCCCGTGCATCTGTAATTCATAACAATTTTAGGTCATGCTCACAACCAAATTACAGACATGTCTAACTGTAGTGGGTGTGTAATGTTTGTTTTTTTAAGATTTATTAAAAAAATACAAGAGCGACTGGTTATAAATGTGTAACTGAAGCGGACCTATTCTCTCAGCAAGGCCCTAGGATTTGTTAAGTTTCTGTCTTGTTGTCGCACTGTTAGTCTTTCCGTTTCTCAATTAGTTTAATTTTTCACACTTTCAAGGGTGCTGCTCCTACTTCTCTCTCTCTCTCCGTTTCTGTTTTTAGGCTCTTTGGCCAGCAAGATCCGCCGTCGAGACACGCTGAACATCAAGCTTGGCAACCGACCCAGCAAGAAAGAGCTGGAGGAGAAGAATATTCTTCCACGGAGCTCTGAGACGGAGAGACACGAGCTCCGCCAACAGATAGGATGTGCATTAGTCCGGTACACACACACATGCACACACACACACACACACACAATGTTGTGAAACTGTGGGTGGGTGTTACCTTTCAGTAGATCTTGGCTTAGCTTTTTGGTCATTAACAGATTAATTGTTTTTTAGTGTGGTTGTAGGCGGTGTAATAGTACAAATTAAACTCAGTAAATCAGTGTTTGTCTTTTATTTCTGAAACAAAAAATACTGACTTTCACTGATTAATAATTAAAAAAGATGTAAATACAGTCACAAATGTTTCCCTTTTAGAGTCGAATGAAACGTACTATAGTGAAGAAAAAGTAAAAACATTTTAAATGGATTATTATTATCAATTTTTTTTAACATAAGTTATGTTTTTGTTTCAGGCGCCTGAGCCAAAGACCCACAACAGAGGAGCTGGAGCAGAGAAACATCCTGAAGCGTAAGTGATTCAAACACACTCCTAGGCTGAGGCCGTAAAGCTCCCAACACTGTTAAAACTGCACCTGGGGCCAAATGTACAGAAACAAAGGTTTACTACGAATCTGGAGCATCAGAATACGAAATCTAGGTGTACTTTTTGTGTTTTCTAATCTTTTTTTTTTTACTGAAATTGGTAATACTTGTTCACTGAGTTTCACATTTAAGTTAATGGTAAAATATTCTATCCCTGTCGCCTGCATTAGCTACAGAAAGGAAGTAGATGGGAAAAGGATGGGGTCAGAAAAAGCTGTCTCTTCTAGGTCAAAGGGAAAGTTAGCATTCATGCGCTGACCTACCTTGGTTTACGACTGTGGAAGACTGTTAATTTAGCAGCCAAGGCAGAGCAGAGTGTATCTTTGCAAGTAAAAGCTTACAGCATTAGCAACTCCACAATATGGAGGCACACATCAGGCTTGTGTAATTTGTAGAGTTAAATTTTTTTACCTAAGAAAGAAGAGCAAATGAAGGCAGCAGAAGAGTTGTTGCTGTTAACCAATCAGAGGCGAGACTTTTGCTTACTCGTTAAAGAGTAAGAATTGTCGTTTTCATCCCCAAATTTTCCAACAAACTTCTACCCACTGAAACAGGAGCACCAGAGCTGTTTTTTCCACAGTACAGGACTAAAAAAAAACCCACAAGAAGTATTGATATACAATAGTATTTCTGTTGTACATCTGTCCAGTAGAAACACTTTGGTTTTGTTTCTTCTGGTCCTCTGGAGTAGCCTTGGACCTATGTTTTAGCAAGCAGGAATAAGTTTTTTAGTGCTAACGCCTCGAAAGCCCAGTGAGAACTGGGTTAGATGGATGATGAGCTCTAAAAGGGCGGATGTCTTGTAATTTCATTAGATCTCATGTAACGACAAATAAATTAAATCCTGGAGGAGGAAAAACCCTGAAAAGGCAAATGAACATCGTCCATGGGCTGTTTTATGATCATTGTGTCTATAAACCTATTTTTCTGCTTTGATGAGTCAGATTGTGGACGTGGAAGTTTGAGTTCACAAAAGCAACAACGGGAGATTTAACCTCAGAAACCAAAGAGACAAACATGTTTGTTTAGGTTCAGGTTTTAGTTTTCTTCTGGTTCATAAACAGTCACTAACATTAACTACCAACACAGACTCGGATCATTCTACTCAACAGTTTTCCACACCGGCAAGTCTATGCTTCATGTAAACAAATAAGCAAACAAATGTTAAATCTTAAATCATTTATGAATACTTATTTACACCAGGAAACTGTAAAAGTTGTTATTACTGAGAATTTATTGGAGAATTATTTACTACAATAGTTGCATATTAGTGCAAAATATTTGAACAAAGTGTAATATTTCATAAATTTTGTTATTTTTACTTCATAGTTGCATTTTAGATTAAAAAATTATAACCGTAGAACGAAAAACATAAACATGAATAACTACAGAAATACTATTTATAAGTAACGAGTTGGGTTTCCTTTTTAATATGAATAACCAGAAAATGGAATTCTAGTTTTTTTTATTTGCAATTTTGTCTGAAATGTATTAAAAACATTAGAAATCGAATAATGTTTGATCTGCATGTGTGTGTGGGAATGCAATTAGTATTGTTATTGTTTTTATTTCCTATATCAAATATTTGTTTTCTTTTGTTTTTGTTGAGTGGGATTGTGTGAAGTGCTTTTGAGTTTTAGGTTTTGTACCAGTCAGATCACAGGAAGGATGCTCTGCAGCAGCCACCATGCTTGCAGTGACATTTAGCTCCAGAGATGTTCTTAGCTGGGGAAAAACAAATGTGATGCTCTATGGTCAAAGTGTAAAGTTAGCTAAACTACTGTAAATTAGAAATCCTCCTTGCTTTTTCCACCTGAGACTATATTAATGGTTCCAACTGCAGGTAGAAGAAGACAGAACCTCGTCTGCTGTCTGTTATCAGATAGTGGAGGTTTTATTCTGTAACGGGGTCACTGGAGGTCAACGTTGTTTATACATGTGGGTGTACTGCCCATCAATCTATAAAAAAAACATCATCAGGGTATTAGCAGGGCAGATTTAAGGCAGATGCTTAAGATTATTCCCCTCTTGTTTATGTTCATGTGAAGGCTGCCACACTGCAGCCGTGTGTGTGTGTGTGTGCTGTAGAATCAGATCCCCAACAGCCTGTTGCTGATGTAGAAGGTGTGAAATGACTCTGATCATTTTCTGCATGCAGAGAAGAATGAGGAGGAGGAGAAAGAAGCCAAGCAGGAGATTAAAAGGAGACTCACTAGAAAGGTAGCATGCACACACACACACACACACACACACACACACACACACACACACACACACACACACACACACACACACACACAAACTAAGGTGTATAATATTCTAATCTAATACATTTTTCTAAACTTTTGGGTCCATGGAAGAAGTTTTCAGTTGAATTATCAGCCCCCTAGTGGAAGTAGAAAGGAAATGACATTTGAACGAAGAAGCTCACAACAAAAAAATACTACACTAATACACTAATAAAATGGGTTTTAACGGTTGGTCTTCAATGTAAACTTTCCTCCTGTGTGTGTGTGTGTGTGTGTGTGTGTGTGTGTGTGTGTGTGTGTGTGTGTGTGTGTGTGTGTGTGTGTGTAGTTGAGTTTGAGGCCGACGGTAGCAGAGCTCATTGCTCGGAGGATTCTGCGTTTTAACGAGTACGTGGAGGTGACGGATGCTAAGGATTATGATCGGCGGGCGGACAAGCCCTGGACGAGGCTTACTCCTGCTGACAAGGTGCTGCTGCTCAAAACTGAAACGATAGCTTTAAATAGCAAAATAATCCAACATTACCTTCTCTATTAACTGAGTATCTGAATTAATTTTTGGTTGCCAGCAGTTGATAGACATATGCTTGCATCAATGAGAGCTTTTTTAAGAAGTGTGCTGAGACACGGCTGCAGGAGTTTGACCCCGTTTGGTCACCATAACACGACCAAAGGCAGAGATCGATTACTTCTGGCTCACAGCTGCCTGTTTCAGTTCATCCCAAAGGTCGTGGGTCGTGGTTAGGGTTACACGGAATGATATTTACCAGCTCTAGATTGATCTGGTTATAACATTGGCTGTTTGTGTCAAGCCTGCCCTCTGCTGGTCGTGTTTGAAATTTACACTTAAAATTCAAACTAAAGGAAGGAATTACATCACGCCAAGGTGAAAATGTTATCCATTGGCTGCAGCTCCTGATTCAGTGACATTCCCTTTCACATGTGACTGCTTACACACCCATCCCTGCAGCCCCGATGGTAGTACTGCACTAGTGTGCCGGTCAAGCAAGCTGCAGGTTTGATCAACCGATTTCATGGCAGACATGTTGAATTGAAACCATGGGGAGTTTAACGAGGGCTGCATTCCATTTAGAAGTTCTGCTCGTTAGGTTTGCTGATTAAGACTTAAAAACTCTGCTGACTCAAGTAATGATGAGGTAATTTGACCTAAGAAATAATTAATATAAACAATTAATGTGTGTTTGTGTGCATGTGTGTTCCTTCACTCCCCAGGCTGCTATCCGTAAGGAGCTGAATGAGTTTAAGAGCCGAGAGATGGAGGTTCATGAGGACAGCAAACAGTTCACCAGGTACTCCTGCAGCCGAGCCAGCGACTGCAGCTCCAGCACTCGTCTGTCTCTGCAGACCTCACTGCCCTGCTCTTTATTAGCTCTCACTGATTGGTACTTTTATTGTTCGGCTCTCCTGATTAAAGTCGTGATGGGTCAACTCTAGTTCATTATCCTCAGGCGCCGACTGCCAGGGAAGCTCAGGTTTCTCTCAGATGTGTGGCATTAGGCTTGTTTACAGGAAGAAACCCACAAATATTAAGAAATAAATCTTGTGATAAGAAGGTAAAATACAAATCTAATTCCTAAAACAGCTATGTTGTGATTCTCTTTGGGATGAGTGTTTGCTAGAAAACAGAGTAGACGTAACCGCCTGCAGCACACAACTGACAAGCATTAAGAATTTCTTGCTTTATTAGTTTTTCTTTTCAGAAAATGTATAAAAGTTGGGCCCTCTGCAGAGATTTAAAACTTTTATCTTACCTGCTGCAGGTGGCTATTTAGAAAACTCAGTTTTGTAGGACAGATCAGATGTGACCAGATCGATGAGCTAAAGGCCAGTGATGGTGGGGTTAAAGGTAAAGTCAACTTCATTCATCAATAAAACAAAGCTAATCTAATCTAAAAAACAACGCTTTATACCTTATAGGGCTGCACCTATCAAATATTTTAGTATTTGATTATTTTATTGAATCCTCTGTTGATTTATGGAATATGATATTCGACAACGTTTCAAGTGAAACGAGAATGTGGTCTATGAAAATGAAACTAAATTATTAAAAGCTCAGTAATACGTATTAAATTGGTGTTGTCTAGTTCCCTCTTTTCTTTTATAGTTAGTAAATATTTACCTACATTTTATTAACATTTCAGGTTTGTATTAATATCACTCATCCTAGTCTAAATAACATCTAAATAGATCCACATATGAGTAGAATTTAATTATTTCATTAACACCTTCAGTAGTAAGCTACCAGAAATGCTAATAACCTTTTATTTTCCACTGGTAACAATGTAAAGGTGGCATCTATATTTTGTGATGTACAGGTTGGCAACATAATGCAGTCTAAATTGTATTCAAAGATAGATTACATGCTAAAACGGCTTGCCATATTGTTGCTGCTTTGAATGGAGCAGACTCCAGGTATCTGCTACAGTTCTGCTCCACACCTCTGCAGACATCCACAAATAAATGGGATGGTTGGGATTTTTCTTTTGCTTGTAGAGTTTATTCATTCACAACAACTGTGCGTGCAAGGCTCCAGCATTAGCATTAACCAATCTGCCCGTAGATTAATTCTTGAGCCCAAACTTTGGACCGTTTCTGCCTTTTCCAATGGTTTGTGTCTTTGCTGGTTTCTCTAGTTTCCTCCACAGAACCTAGATTACCACTTTGTGTGCCAGTAAAATGTGTTCAGACTGTGGAGTGCACATTTAACAAAGCTTCATATCAGTAAAAAATGATTTGAGGAATTAAATGAATCGAACCATTTGAACAATTCCATGATTATTTTCAGCCCTAATGCTTTAGTCAGTTTCTCATTTCAGTTTTGTTTTTAAATTTCTGATATCTTCAACTGGAAATAGAAAGTGCTGTAGATACTGTAGGTTATTCCTATAGCAGACTATGACATGTATAAACTGACAATCCCATGCATCCAGCCAGAGCTAATCTTTATTTCTCCAAACTGAGGTTGTTCTGAGAGCCATCCCAGCAGGTTAGAAACCTATTTTAATAGAACTATCCCTTTAATTAAGACTGTAATCTTCAGTTTCTATCCATCCGTTGTTGGGTCGCTGGGGCAGCAGCTAAGAGAGGCCCAGACTTCCCTCTTCCCAGCCACTTGGGCCAGCTCTTCTGGTGGAATCCCAAGGCGTTCCCTGACTAGCTGGGAAACATAGTCCTTCCAGCGTGTCCTGGGTCTTCCTTTAGGTCTTCTCCCAGTTGGACATGCCCAGAAAACCTCACCAAGGAGACGTACAGGAGGCATCCTAATCAGCAGCTGAGCCACCTTAACAGGCTCCCCTCGATGTGGAGGAGCAGCGGATCTACTTTGAGCCCCTCCCGAATAGGGTTGGGCATCGTTTGATTTTTAACGATTCCGATTCCAATTCCTCGTTTCGATTCCGGTTCCTATCGATTCCTGATTCCGATTCTTTCAAGACATCACATGCTTTACATGAGCTAGCTAACCACAGGTCCTACTTGATGAAATAATCTTAACTTCAACTTCGTCTTCGTCTTCGTCTTCCTCCGCTTATCCGGGTCCGGGTCGCGGGGGCAGCATCCCAATTAGGGAGCTCCAGGCCGTCCTCTCCCCGGCCTTGTCCACCAGCTCCTCTGGCAGGACCCCAAGGCGTTCCCGGACCAGATTGGAGATGTAACCTCTCCAACGTGTCCTGGGTCGACCCGGGGGCCTTCTGCCGGCAGGACATGCTCCTTGAACCGTCACCTTATCGTGGTGGAGGAGTTTGAGTGCCCTAATGATCCTAGGAGCTATGTTGTCTGGGGCACTTAGTGCCCCTGGTAGGGTCTCCCATGACAAATTGGTCTTAGGTGAAGGGTGAGACAAAGAACGGTTCGAAGGATCTTTCATGGCGGTTAAAACGAAGAGTCGGAGTACCTGGCCCGGAGGGTTACCGGGGTCCCACCCTGGAGCCAGGCCTGGGGTTGGGGCCCGTGAGCGAGCGCCTGGTGGCCGGGCTTTCGCCCATGGGGCCCGGCCGGGCCCAGCCCGAACCGGATACATGGGCTCGTCCAACTGTGGACCCACCACCCGCAGGAGGAACATGAAGGGTCAGGTGCAATGCGAATCGGGTGGCAGACCAAGGCGGGAGCCTTGGCGGTCCAATCCCCGGACAAGAAAAAACTTAACTTCAACATGAATTTTAATTCTATGAAGAACAACATCACCTTCATTTAGACAAAAACATGTTTTGGAGAAAAAAAGAAAAAGACTTGCAGCACAACCAGTGTGTTTGTTTCTGACCACAGACAAACTCACCTCACACCATCCAGAGTTTGTTCTTTAAAGCTTCTATTAAATCCACCGTGTTGACGTCTTTTAACAAGTTTCCTCTACGCTGCAGGAGTTAAAGTTTACATTACAGAGTAATAGTTCGGCAGACGCATTTGTTTAGATTTGGCTGCTGCATGCGGGGGTGGGGGGGGGACTCAGTGCTGCAGACAGACAGCTGGTGGGATCAGCTCTGAAAAGCGTTGATCACAGTTTGCAGATCACGTTTATTTTTCACGGAGATCGGCCGCGGATTCCTCTTCCGTCGGCACACTAATCAAAATAAAAAACGTTGAGCGATTCCGGGAAAAATGAACAGTTGGAACCAGTTCCAATCGATGCCCGATTCTCGATGCCCAACCCTACTCCTGAATGACTGAACTTCTCACCCTATTTCTAAGGGAGAGCCCAGACACCCTGCGAAGGAAACTCATTGTGCTATCTGCTTGTGCTATCCGTAATCTCATTCTTTCGGTCACTATCCAAAGCTTGAGACCTTAGGTGAGGGTAGGAACGTAGATTGATCGGTAAATCGAGAGCTTCACCTTCCAGCTCTTCTCCGTCTTCACCACGACAGACCGATACAATGCCCGCATCACTGCAGATGCAGCATATATCAGCCTATCAATCTCCCAACAAGACCCAGAGATACTCCTCCACTTGGGGCAGGATCTCATCTCTGACCCAGAAAAAAAACATTCTACCCTTTTCCGCCTCTAATTTTAATTTTAATGTTAATTGTTGCTCCTGATTTTTACGTATTTCTGTATGAAACGAATGAAAATGTATCTTTGTTTTAACAAGTGATGTCTTCTATTTTTATGTAATACCAGTGTGTTTTGTGTTTTCAGGTTTCATCGGCCCTAGGTGCTCTAACTGCTTCTTCCTCACACCTCCTCTTTATGTTCTTCTAAATCCAACACTTTGAACTGTGAGCAGAGAAAAGTGCTGTTCTTGTTTGATTTAAATGAGCCAGATCCACAGCCTTGGCGTTGTCGACTTATGTCAGAGTTTAACGGGATGTTTAACAGAAATAAGTCATTCTGTGCTTTTCCTGCTTCAACACTTCAGAGCGTCTTCTGTGGAGAAGGTCTTATTCCTCCGACGATGCCTGCTCATGTCTGTAATGACGGCTACAGTCGTGTCTTAAGGCACCAACAGAAAATTTGCACATATCTAAAATGAGAACAGTGCTGTGTATAAAACGTATTATTTATTGTTGAGCATCAGAAACATCTGTTTGTTTGTTTTTGTTCTCAGGCTTTGTGATGACAAAGTTAAACTTTGTAATTGTCAATGTAACTCAAATGTACTATAAAGTAAGTCAGATTGCCATGGTTTGCCTTGTTGTAACCCCTCAATGGCCATATATGGACATCCTCCCTAGAACAGGAAACGTGGATGATTGGAAGGTTTCTCACTGATGTCAGTGCCTATGAGGAGGAGAGGAAGTAAGTTCTGCTCCACCGTGCCTCTTAGTGTTGACTCAAATACTGCAGCTCATTTTTTAGACGTTTATTAAATTGCATCGCCACTAGAGGGCATTATATCATAAATGTTGTGTTATGAGGTTGTGTGTGTGTGTGTGTGTGTGTGTGTGTGTGTGTGTGTGTGTGTGTGTGTGTGTGTGTGTGTGTGTGTGTGTGTGTGTGTGTGTGTGTGTGTGTGTGTGTGTGTGTGTGTGTGTGTGTGTTTGCTAGTGTCACATTTAAAACTGATTAAGACGTGGGAGCAATGGACACCTGGGGTGTAAACAGTAAAGTATAGTAGATTGTTGTTTTATCTCCCAATACATAATGATTCTGTGCCATCATCTTGTGTTTTGTTGCAAAAGTGCAGCTTCGGTTTTTACATTGCTGTTTGTCATTTAAAAGCCTTTGGCAGGAGCCAAAGGAAACAACAAAAAAAGCTGAATTTGGATTTGTTCTGAGACTTAAATGAAGATTTTTCGGTGTAGACACTGAAGATATGAGATTTTCCAGTTTATTCAGATCGGATTAGATGGAGGAGAGTAAAAACAAAAATGTTACCAAAGTGCATCAATCAGCAGCTTGTGATACTAAAGTATGGACAGACTATTTACAGCTCGCTGTCACACACACACACACTTTGAAATCACTTGTTTGGAACTATTTGGGTTGAATTAATTTAAAAATGTATTTTATGAACAGATGTGAATCATACTGTGCTCATTTATGAGCCTTAAAGTGATTTTTAATCTTCATTTGTTTTTTTTAGATTCATTAATTTTTTTATCCACTTCAGATAAAATCCAAACCCTCAAGATGCATGATAATATGGGATGTAAAGAGGATGAATTAGGGGTGATGTTTTAGCGTGTGGGTGGGATTTGGTTAGCTTTTACCCAGAGAGGATGTATTTTTCCCATCAGAGCACCAATCTCATGAACACTTATTTCTAACAGTAACAGAAAAAGCGTTGCTCTGCTTCTGGATGTCTGGAGGTTTTCAAAACGATGTACAGTGATGGTGAAACCAACAGTATTCATTCATGTCTGTGTTGGTATATATGGACTATTTTGTCCAGAATGTGTATCGGAGCATGAATTAGGTTTTTAAATGTCACACCTTTGTGAGAGTTGTAAGCTTTTTTTTGTCCTGATTATCTTCTAAGGCTGATAAGTGAGCTCAAGTCTAAATGTTTTAGACGACATATCAGTCTTCGCCTACGTGCTCCCCTTCCTCTCCAGCTGTATTCTATTCAAAGTTATTTCAGAACCCACATCGGCTTCATTGTTTGACTTATTTTCTTTTAGAAATGAGAATAAATTATAAAGTAATACAAGTAAAGCACAACAGGGAATGTTTAATCCCTTTTTAGGAGTTAGGAAAAATAAGTTATTTAAAGCAAAAATCAATCAATCCTGTAAAGAAACCATTAAAGCTTTGGTAACATTTTACAAGAAGGGTCCCTTTAATAATGTCAGGGCATTATTAAGCATTAATAAACTGTTGAATAAAGCATTAACAACTGCCTAACCATGTTATGTAATGCATTACTAAGCAGACCCCCCCCCCCCTCTTTAATGTAACCTTAAGGACACCTAATAGTTAATATTAAAGATACCATTTGTTTATTAATGCACTAATAATGTGAATAAAGACACCCTTTGTTTATCAATTTCTAATATGCACTAATAATATTAATAAGAGAACCTTTGTTAATGCTTAATGGACTAAGTAACATTTATAAAGGGACCCTTTGTTTATTAATGCTTAAAAATGCAATAGGTAACGTTAATAAGGGACCCTTTGTTTATTAATGCTTAATAAAGCACTAATAATGTTAATAAATTTACCCTTTTTATTAATGCTTAACAATGCAGTAAGTAATGTTAATAAAGGGACCCTTTGGTTAATAATGCATTAAAAATGTTAATAAATGGACCCTTTATTTATTAATGCTCAATAATGCAAATCGTTTTAATAAAGGGACCTTTATTGTAAAGTGTTCCCAGAATTTTGAATATCTAATTTTAAAATACTATTTATGAAAATTAGGAGCCTTAAACGTGTATAAATAATTTACAAACTATGTATGAGTAAATGAAACGTGATTATGACATGGTGCAATATTAAAATTCCACCCATTATTTGTCATTATTAGGTTGATATATTAATATTCAAAAAAAATCAACTAACGCTTAAACTCTTCATGCATTTTATAATGGAGGCTGTTTTAGGAAACGTGCCAACTTGAGTTTTACGCTTATTTAGGAGATCTGTATTTAATTTTTTTTATTATAAATGTAAAGAATAAACATTTATTAATCCAACCCAAAAAACATTGTTGCTTTTTATAGAATTGAAGAAATTTAATGGTCAATGTTTGGTTCACCTTTAAAAACCAGAATTTTTTGTAATGTTTGCTGAATTGGTTTAAAACCCCATATTTTCTTGTTTGCCCTGGAACTTTTCTCTCTTCATGGATCCATGCTTCTGTTTGAGCTGTGAGCTCCCATGCTTCACATTTCCTTTATCTCTTTCCTGGCGGAACGGTCATTAATTTCAGGCTTGCGCTTTTGATCAGCTGATTTTTTTTCTCTTCACGGACATTTTCTGGAAAGTGAAATGCTTTAAACCTCTGCTTTAAGTGTGGCGTCAGGAAAAAAGATTTTTCTTGAGCTTCCTGGAACTGGATATTTGACATAAAGTCTCTCTGAAGCTTACGTTACTCAGTATATCCATAAACGGCTCCTGTTACATCTTAATTGTGTATAGTGTTAAAGCCATTGCTTTACCCATGAATGTTTTGTCATTGTAAAAGAATGTATATAAGATAAGAATGAATGTAGGTATTAAAATATGAACACAATGACCAGCTCTTTTTACTTCTGGATGAAACTGGAAACATCTAAAATCTTTTGGTAGCAGCAGACATGAAATAATTTGAAAGAAGCTTGATTTCTGTTATGTTGCATCACTTTATTTAAAAAATCTATAATATTTGGGAATTAAGGATGTTAGGTTGTGTAGTTCTTTATGAAGGAATATGTCCACCAGCATTCTGCCATTGCTGGGTTAGGAGACGGGTCTGGTCCTACTTGTTGCATGAAACCATCTCAAGTGGACTAGGTCATTTTTAAAATAGTGCATTAATTTGATTCTGATGAGCAGTTATGTTTGGTGCTATTATTGTCTTTGAACCAAACTTAAACCAAGCAGCTTATTCTGGTAACATGAAATGCCATTCCTGTTTACTTTGACAGGCTGTGGTAAAGTAGAACACTAAAAATGTCAGAAATGGAACACCATATTAGAGGAAAATGCATCTTCTCAGAAACTGAACACTATATTAGAGGAAAGTACAACTTCTCAAGATTAAAACACTATATTAAAAAGTGTAGATTGTCAGAAATTAAACTAACAAAAGGAAAGTGCATCTGGTCTAAAATGGAACACTTTCTGGGGAAAGTGTAGCTTCTCAGAAATGGAACACCATATTAGAGGAAAGTGTAGCTTCTCAAAATTGGAACACTAAATTTAACCCTCTCAGGCTCAAAATAAGTTTTGATAAAAGGACGAACAACTAAGTCCTTCAGGGGTACTTCTGAGTTGAAAAATGCTCATGAAATGCGTATGTGGAGTAACCAGGTAGGTACAGTAGGTTTTTACCTTGCAAATCTGGAATGCCTGCCTCCAGAGGGTTAAAACGTCTAGTTTGTCAGAATTGAAACACTATAACAAATTAAAATGTAGCTATTCAGCAATGAAACACAATCAGAGGAAAGTGCAGGTAGTTAGGAACACTAACAAAAAAGTCTAATTTGTCAGAAATGGAGCATTATAGCAACTGCAGCTTCTGAGGAAATGAACACTATGGGAGGAAAGGGCAGCTAAAGTGCAGCTTCTCAAAATTGAACACAATATTAAGAAAGTCTAGTTTGTCAGAAATGGAACACTATTGAAGGGAAGTGCAGCTTGACTTGAAGTCGGAATATGATTATGCACTTACAAATCCTTTCTATCTCTGTGCACTCTAAAAAGTATAACTGACATTTACTTAAATTTCTTGGTGCAACATTTTTACACTTAAACTAATGAGTAAATGTAAACCCAATCAAATCTCTTTAAAATACCTTATCAATTAAGTAAATCTAACTAAAATGAAATAAGTTGTCCTGAACAATTAAAGCTGTTTCAGTGACATGCAAAATTGAGTAAATACTATTAAAATTGTTGATAAAAATAACAGTAAGCTACAATTGAATCCACATAAAAAAGTTAAATAGATAATCCTGTAATGCTAGGTACATGTAACTTAAAACAAGGATGCTATCTGTTTTTAAATATTGGTTCAATTTACTTAATGTTTAAAACAACCTAAGTAAAAACTGGAATTACAATTAAATATTAATTTTACTGCATTTCAATGGTAATTTTAATTATAAACTAGCCTAATTCTTTCTCTCTCTCTCTCTCTCTACACACACACACACACACACACACACACACACACACACACACACACACACAGGTTAAAAGGACCACATCAGTTCAACATTTTTCACATTTATTTTTGTGAGCATGACATCAAATCCATTCAACCAGCTTTATTTTGTGAACCACACCTTAAGCAGATTCATTCTCAAAAAACAGTGAGCTAAGTTGTACTCATTCAGTGGATCGAACATGGATGAAACTTCCCATCAACAGCTTTTTTTGTACTCTCAATTTGCAAGCTTGATAAAACTCTTTAAACTGGCTAATTGTTGTCAATGATCCAATGAAAAGCTTTACCTGCTGTACGAAGATCATAAGAGGCTCAAGGGAATAGTGTTTTACTATTTCAGATGAGGCCTACTGAAAAAAGAACAAGCAGCTGAATGAAAAAATCCCAAAAATATAAATCCTGAAAAGAAACATTTGCACTGTCCTTGTTTTGAACACCTCATTTTGATTCTGAGAAAACAATAACAAAAAATGTGACAAAAAAGGCCATAATTAAAATAAATAAATAAGTAAAAAAGAATGCTTTCAAAAAACAATAAAGAAGATAACATTTTACAACCAGAACACAAACATATAAATGGTGCAAACATGCTTTGGAAATGTCAACACAAATGGTAATGCATCAACTAAACCTTGTGATGACTATGGCATGTCATCTAACCAGTCCAATACTTTAGGAACAGCTATGGGAAATGGTGTCTACAGTGCACAGAGGTAATTTTTCAGTCTTTGAACCTTGACAGAAAGGTTTCCTGGATCCAGCTCCAGGAACACTTTTTGAAATACCTCAAATGTGTATTTGAGATTCTTGGGGTATTTCAGATCGAAAGCATAGGACAGTCCCAACAGACAGCAACAGGCTTTGCTGAGATTCCCGAGTTTGCCCAGAACAGTGATGCCCTCAACATTACCCACATCAGTAGGTTCGACTGAGCTGTCTTGGATCTGCAGCAGGTACCGGTAAATCTTCATCACCTCCTCGGTCAAAGCCTCTTCAACACTGACAGCATCAGCATACTCCTTCAGACAGAGAAATAACTGGTTCAAGCTTACATTTATCTTAATTATTTCAAAACATGGATACAAAAAAGACGCATTTGTGTGAAATCACTGGCATTCAAATCATTTGGACACTGTGCTCCAAAATCTCAGAGCAATAGCTGTTCGTTTGAATGCTTTAAAGGGATGGTTTTTCAGGACAGTATCTTAAGACTTTTCTATGATCTGACAAGAAATAATAAATGAGTAAAAATCCTAAAAGATTTATTGCACCAACATCAGAGATTTTGATAGAGTCACTTGCATCCTCTCCCAGATGGTCAATGAGACACTGGATGATGACTTCTCTTTTTTTTTTGAGTGGAAATTCCACTCTGTTAAACAGAAAGTCTCAACTGTAGGCAAAATGTAAAACTTTTTTTTTTTTTGTTTGAGCTTAAAGAGAGACTAGGCAGTTTTGGCACATACTGGTTCAAGAAAATTATTTAAAAATATAAAAAGTTGTAAAATATCCCTTAAAACATAAAACATTGTAATGAACATTGCATTAATGAAAAACATGTTTGTGAGAGTCAAATTTAACCATAAACTCTCTGATAACAATTTAGAAGTAGAGGTCGACCGATTATCTACTAATGATAGGCTAGCTTGTTGTTAACTTTAGAGACCGTCTTAAACTCTCAGCTGCTTTTAGCTAAACATGTTAGCTCCAGTTTTATAAATTACATTATTTTCCTGTGTGGCAGTAGAAGAATTTCACTCTGTGGTTAGAGAGGAGAGTCCTGCAGCGTCTGCACCCCCCTCCTGGTCGTGTTTTGTGTTCAGAACTTTTCCTCATGTGGGTCATCTTACGTGGATGACCCAGTGAACAGAAACACAGAAAAAGATCTGTACATAAATGCAGCTCTTGTTTTTCTGTTTAGCATGTAATCTGTGATCAGAAACAGCAGAGACGTGTTCTGACTATGGCCTAGTTTTAATTAGTACGTAAAATCTAACGTCCGCCGTCAGTAACACCAGTGAATAGTTAGGGTTATTAATAGATGAGTGTTTCTCTAATATTTCTCATATAGACTGTAATGTGCTGAGTTCTCTGCTCTTTCTGCTACAAACTGAACTGAAGATGGATGCTCTACACCAGTGGTCCTCAAATAGTGGCCCAAGGGCCACATCCGTCCCGCGAGCCCTCTCTTTGTGGCCCCCAAACCCCGCGCTCACCCCCCACCCCGACGGCCGACGGGGAGGCGTAGGATAGATAGAGCTGAGGAAAACAATCAAATAATCATTGCATGAGATGCGGGCATAAACGATTCTGCATCATAGAAGAGTACCATAATCAGTTATAGTGGAATGTAGTTTTGTTATTTTAACGGCGGCACCAGCGTAGCATCCACACCTGTCAGAGCGGTGTTCTCCACATTTACCTGGTAGGAAACTTTGGTCTGCCTTTATGTGGTACTGCAGGGCTGAGCGCTGGAGTTTTAACCTGAGACCGAACGCGAACTGAATCAGCCCGATCGTTTCTGTTGGATTTGGCCCGTGAATTATGTTAATTGCATGGGTTGTCGCTCCGCTCGATCAGCGACTGAGAGAGAGAGAGATAGAGAGAGAGAGGGTCGGAGGATGCTCCTCCAAACACGCATTATTATTTTCATAATTTAATTATTGTTTCTCCTTGAAGCGCTCAGTCAGACCGAGTGCTGTGATGTCGGGAGATCCGGTCTTGGGGAGGGAGCGGGGTGAGTGACGGGCGGCTGCAGCGTAATCATTTGTCTCTTCTATTTAGGGACACGGAGAAGTTAAAAGGAGAGAGAAATAGAAAAGACAGAAGTTTTTATTCCACTTTGTTCTTTTGTTTCATGTAGATAAACTGATGTTAAATTCAATAAAAAAAACTGGGAGGAAACTTTGGTTCATTTTAGGTTACAGGAGGTCTGTCTCCTATCTTCTCCTCCAGGGACAGCATGGACATGAGGGTCACATGGTCAGGGTCCCACAGGACAGGTTAGTGCAGTCACACAGCCGAGCTGGAGGGGGACAGGTGTTGTTCTTCTGTATATTGCTAGCTTGTGTGTTATGTGCATTACAGCCAGCGATCCAAACAGCAGCAGCAGCAGCCCATCCCCACGTGCTGGAAAGATTTTGTTTGGGAAATACAATCTTCATTACCTGAAGCATGTAATTATGCCCTATGGCGTTGTCCAGCAGTACCCTTCTTGCCTTGGAACTAGGACATCAGTTTGGAAGAACACAAGTCCAACGTTGACATGAATTTTGGCTCAAGGTTCATTGTCGTGATCCTGTGAAACTCTGCATTGACCTGGACAAGAGAGGACAAAATGCTAAAAATCTGATTCATTATCA